CCAATATGCAGGGTTAGCTGTCAATTACAAAGATTAAGGTTCGATCATGGTAATAGAAACTTTAGACATAAGCGCCAAAGCGCCCTAGCAACCAGCTCAGCGGTATTCCGGCGTAAATGTATGTCAATTTGCAAAGTTGGGCAAATGTTTTTGCTTTTCCAATATATTATTACTTGAATATTTCAATGACTGAATGTGATCTAAATGTTTGAGTAAGCGAAGAGATTCGATTGATATTTAGCCCAATCACTCGCGTCACTGAAACTGAACTCAACCGTTAATTCGCAAAAATTACCGATGAGTGAACGGGCCGAATTTTCTGTTCAATATAAAGCATCTCATCCATCAAAATTCAACTCCACGCTCAGCTCTTTAAACCCGCAACGAACAAATATACGGATTTCATTCTAAAGGAAAATATGCCGGAATTCATAATCTATAGGCGCCAAGTTATTTATCTGAGAGTAAATAAAAATGACTGAATTTATCAACAATAGGGCATACCAGTGGGAACGGAGTCCTCATGTGCTTTAACATCAGATTCTTTAAACATAGATAGTCTCCGGAATGAGAGTAACAGCTAAAAGAGCTTTGGTTTTTCTTGCAAATGCTATTAGGAAGAAAGGCGATATAGTTACTACTTACCCAACCGACTGCCCAAAGATATGGTGGATGGCCAAGAATGACCAGGGGTAAGTGCTTCGACAGATTCTGCTTCAGAATCAGGTTGTCTTCTGAAGAAGCACCAACGTCTGTGCGGGATCAAGAACGTTGAAAACACTGTCTGACGCTTTACCTCCGTGACCTGAAATAATGAACCATCATCAAAATTGACTGACTGAGTTTAAGATGAGGCTCTATAAAAATAAATATTTTTTATTTTGTATTTCCCGATTTAATCAGTTCTATCATCAGTGCTTTTGACTCAATCTATAACGGACTTACATTTGGTGACCTGAAAAGTCAGGTGATCGACGAAGGAGGCAAAAGTCTCGTCGCCATGAACTGTAATAATGATTTGAAGACGATCACTTCCACAATCAAGATCAGCTCCTTTTCCACTACGACTGATATGTTAATCTCCCGCGTTACAGCGTTCGCCTGACCGAGCCGTGAGCATATTTGAACGTCCTGCCTGCTGTCTTTCTTGAGCACCACCCAGACATATCTATTGAATGCATCTACCTGGTCTGGCTGCGCTCCACTTACCTGCAATGTACAGTGATGGGTTTTTCTTGAGGTCAAAATCCTGCCTCGGTTAGGTTGGTTTTCACGCTGGCTTCAGCCAAGCGGTCTCGGGCACGTTGGAAACCATTATGCGACGAAATCACCTACAAACGACATATGTTCGTAAAACCTCTCCGAATATAGCGTTTTCCATATGTGGACTACTTTGCCAAACAAATTCATAAAAATTATGAACAGACCAGAGGCAACATATATCTTTGGTCAAAACCAACGCATACGTTGCAAGGCGCTGTACGCTTGCCACTTGCCACTAATCTGGACTAATCTTTGACCAAAGTTCAATAGATCCCCGTAGCCGGCGGTATGCTCCGTATTTGTGCATTAATCTTCATAGCATTGATCTGAGTACCTTGTGGTTTAAAGTCATTTATGGATCTAAAAGGTACCCATAACCTTCTTCACAGATTCCAAAAATGTCTGGCAAACTGATCCTAGACGCTGCGTTTCATATGGAAGTGACGTTTATCATAAAGATAATTTGCATCGAGACGAGTTGCATTGAGTTCGTTTCCGACAGTCTCTGATATGCTCAGAATTTAAAACGTTTTCCCGGTTTTAATAATCATGCGGTACTTCGATATGTGCCCATTCATTTGCGCAGTTTCAATGGAGCAGCACCTTTAGATGATGGCTATATTTCCCATATCTTAGGTCATTCACATGCTCGTGCTGGTGCTTTTGCTGTTTTCCATATGTTGGGCGCCGAAACTGATATTGGATGTTCTGATAGCTAATCAGGTGGAACGGCCTGCGTCTGATGAATTGGAAGCCTCGATAGACGCGAACTACAGTTTCGAAGCTTCGACCGTGAACCGCCATGTCGAAACGATGGGGATAGCTCGACAATACGCAGATATCGTCTTAATTTTTCATTCTTCGTTCATTCCAATTTTATACCTTGCTTTTGCACACTGACAGTTTATGCGTGTTTCGTATGCATGGATATATCTATATATTTACGGTAAATCATTGTACATGTATATTAAGTTGAGCAGCTTGCAATAGATTATGAGGAGAGGAGGATGACTATCATAATAAGATTACTTAGAGTTGTACGTATTACTGTTGCACTAATATTATGGAATAGCTTAGATCGATATTTATTAACACATATTGAAGTTTTTTCTCATACGAAAATAAAATTGTTATTAACCAAAGTTCGATATGTCCCACTTAAATGTTTGCGCCTTCAAGATTATACAGTCCCTCATGCTTTCCTGAATACCGTCGACAGGCCTAACTACAACAGTGGGGCATTTAATGCTGTACGGTAAGGGAACAACGTCTTGAAGTGTTCGCTCTGCAACCGTTACGGTGGTCGTGAACGACGTGGTTCGCTTTCTCCAGTACACATTATTGCAGATTTGTGTATGATTGTCACAAGGGCCAGGGCGGTTCAGTCTTTAGAGAATCAGTCAAAAGATTATGTGGTTCCAAATACGCCCAGGTTGCCATCAAGCAGTAAACTTTGACCACAAAATATGGCATTTGTGGTTGATGGCATCTTGACGGAGATAATAACATTACTTGCGTGAAGAAAGTGTCATAAATCATGAAAGTATTAGGGCAACTAACATCCAACGCATACAAAATGCCTGTTAAAAAAATTCATAAAAGACGAATATTCGAACTATTAGCCTGGATAAAAGCGCCGCTGGAAAGAGGGAAGGAATTCCATCTTTTTCCTATGGCAAGGGGCGTTACATCATGCATTTGGCCTTTGATCGAAATAAAGAAGAAATATGACTAAATATATATGACTAAATGATGCACAATTTGTCTAAATGTGGTTGCCATATATCGATCTTTATGCCCACGTCATCTCCAGCATGAAAGACCCACTGAAGGTACAGCATGCCAAAGTGAAGTATGCTAAGATGCAACTTTCCTAGAAACGAATACCCGTTGCGAAGCCTGTAAAGGTGGGTTAATGAAGCATATGCATTCCGGCCAGATAGAATTTCAAACAACAGATAATTGCACACCTCAGCCCACGTTTAGACATGAAGCAGTTACAAACAAAATTCGACTACCGAAATCCTTGTGCAAGAAGTTCTGCTGATCAGCAACTAAGGAAATTAGGAACGATAACGAGCCCATACTGAATTTCAAAGGAGTATCCGGTGCTTGGTCACGAGTACCAGTAATCTCACTGCATACAACAGAAGCGCGTACTCCCTCTTAACAAAGAGCGGCGTATTCTACGCAGGTCAATGGTGAAATTGAAAGCGATCGCACCGATGATGAGGATAGCAATGACAATTGCAATAATAATTATATGTTCATAATGGCAATGACAAAACGAACGATGATAACGATCGATGATAAGAAAGGTGATCAATTCGTCTACAGGGGGTAATTATCTGAATTTATTCCGATGAACTGAT